CGCGTTATTAGCACGGCGCTCTAACCAGCTGAGCTAAGGGACCGCTGTCATTTGATCATTAAAATAGTTAGTTAATATTATTGATTATTGCTGTGTATTTCATTTTTTCTATTCATTTATTATTGAATTTTGACTGGTGATAATATTATTCATTGATGAAAGTGATTGATAGTAAATTAAGTATTATAAAATATTTCATATAATAACAGTAATAATTATTGAAAATATTAGTAATAACTAATCTTTGATTTTCTATTACAGATTATACAATATTGAATATATACATGTAGAAATTAAATAATTGTTATAACTATTTTTGATCTAGAGATATGTGAGATATTCAAAAATAACTGAAATTTTTGGCATCTATTGGAAGATATATATATTTCATATAACAGCACTCATATACTTTCGAATATTAGTTCATTCGAAATCATATAATTATAAAAGCAAATGAAATCTATAATATTGTTGAATTAGATTCAAAATACTTTTTAGTCAACTCTTCTTGTTTTTTCTTCTTTTCAAAACAGAATCTCATTTTTATTACATTAAGATAATTTCCTGTGACTTTTTTATCTTTCGATCATCTCTAATGTTCATTCTTCCCACTCCTCTATTTCATAATCAACTAACCATAAGCTGAAATCTTAAAACACATTTTTATTAAAAAAAACCTAATATAGTCATATGTAATATCGAAATATACAAATAATATGATGACAAAGATATACTGAAATTGGTGCGTGATTTTTCTGTACAGACATATTACCAAACAAAAAAGTGGATATATATTATTCTTTTATGTTTGAACCTTGTACATAAAGAAACAAATTCACATATTATTCATTTATTAATTATTTTGAATAATTATATATTCACTGTTTTTAAACTTAATAAAAAATCTTTTAGGATATAAATCTGATCTGTGAACATGTAAAAACAATAATGCGAATCTCTTGTTCATTTTTAATCATTTAGATAGACAATATTCATGATCATTCATTTTTATCTCGCTTTTCTATAAAAACAAGCGTGACTATAACTGATATTGATCAATGTAAATTTTTTATTATAATATAAAAATAGTAAAGTTTATTTTGATTAAATCAAGATTATGTCTAAATGTATAAAGTCTATGAAAAATATTTGTTACTAATGTGCATAGCAAGTTGTCGTTGATGGCCAGTACTGTACTGATGTGAACTAGTAGTACCCGCTGGTGAATATGTACCTCGTTCTGTTTGATGAGACATATAAGTATTGTGATGTGATGAACGATATTGATTTTCATGTCGAAAACTTTGTTCAAGATCTTGAATGAGTTCTTTTGTAAATGGATCTTCAGCAGAAATACTAGTTTTAAGCTTTTCTGCTTGAGCTTTAAGAATCGCTCGTGAACGTTGAAAATCGGGTTCAGCCATAGCTTCTTCGAGAGCTTGAGTTGTTTCGATCCGATTTCGTTGATTATCAAGTGTTCGATCAACTTGAAGAAGATTGGCAGGAAGATCAGATGCTCGAATCAATTGAAATTCTATCGGATTTGTAGTCAGTGAACGAGTAGTTTTAGGATCAATGTAAGTAATTGTGACATTACCTAAGAACAAAAATAGATATTTTTTATTAACAAACAAAAAATTGTTGATTTGACATACCGATTGGTTTACTCTCAAATTTTTGTTGTACGCTTGATGCTTCACCTTGTGACATGGGTTGTTGACTGTTCATTTCTACATTTTGATTATCAGGCAATTGTGGTACATTTAATTGAAAGACAAGATTACGTTTTTCATCTGCATTCAAATTCGGTAATTTGATGGAGATTGTATTCGAAGGCAATTGTCGTGGTTCATATGAATATTTTGAATGAAAATGAGTTATTTTATATTCATCATTAAATTCAATATTGACTGCAATCTCTTTAGCAACACATGTAAAAAGACCACCTAAAGCCATAGCAAATGCAGAACCAATAGCACGTTGTTCATCCTAATAAAAATAGTCGATTCGATTATCTATATAAAGCAAAATGATAGAAAAATTCAGTTATACTTACAATATATGTAAATGTACCACCATTGCCTTGTTCAGCTAATTTAACCAATACATTTGCTGTATGATCAGAACCATAACCGAAGGAATGAAGTTGAACTCCTTCAGGTAAAGTTTCCATAAGACTTGTATAATCATGATGATCATTATCTTGACCATCAGTAAGTACAAGTATAGCACCTAATGGATTTTTTGTTTGACGTTGTCGAAGTAAGTCAATACCTAGTTGAATACCACTACCAATATAAGTACCACCTTGACTGTGAATATCATTATTAACTGTATCCTTTAAAATTTGCTGACTAATTAAATGAGAATCGAAAAATAAATCGTAAAGAATTGAATATTTTAAAAATATGAATAACTCACTTTTGTTCATTCATTCGTTTTAATCCATGTGAACGATCGACAGCACTTATATTGAATGAAATTATAGCCATTCGATCGAGATGATTCAATTGTTCGACAATATAAACCATGGTTTGTTTCAATAAGTTCATTTTTTCTCCACTCATCGATCCACTTGAATCAATAACGCAAATAAGATCAAGAGGAATACGTGATGCTCGCATCACTTCAATTTCTGATTGTGGAATGGTAGGTGCTTGAAGAGTCACAAGACCATATATATTTGATGTTGTTTCTAATGGTTGTGCTTCATATTCTAATGTTGTCACAGCAGTAATCAAAGATAGATTCTCTGTGTCGCTTGACCCAGTCGCTGCTGCTTGTTGAGCAGCCGCTAGACGTTCAGCAGCAGTTTGAAGAGCAGCTTCATCAACTGATTCTTCAATTGACGGAATGTCCTATAGAAAAACAATAATACTTCAAAAATCTAAAATTTAATATATTACTTGAATTGGAACTGCTGCTAATGGTGGTGGTAGATATACTGGTCGTGTTGGTGTAGATGGTGCTGTTGAACCTGCTAATAATTGAACGATGGAAGCATCAATAGTAGCTCGACACAAGGGACATTGTTTGTTTTGTGCTTGAACATTTGATGCTAGACATTGAAGATGAAATTTATGATTACAGGATAATGTTAGAAGAACAGTTCCTGGTGCAAGAGTGCTCAGACAAATAGAGCAATCATCAGCAACTTGCGATGGAGTTTCAGATGGAGTTGGTGATGACATTATTTTATTATGTGCGTCTTGTAGAAAGGATGAAAAAATGAATAAAGAACTGGGTAAAAAGCTACCTGCATTATATACTGGTAACAAAAGAAAAATAGTTATTGCATCACACGTGCTTCATTGCTTTGGTCATGTAGAGGATTGAGTCAATGAATTAATCATATTACAGTGAGTCATTTTCTTATAAAATTCCCAAGAAAGAAAAACAAACTCATATAAAAAATCTTCATACAATATTAACTAATACTGATAAAATTCATCTAAGAAAGAAAGAGAACAACGACGTATAAAGTATATAGACGTCGCTATTTATTTAAATAAAGATGAATCAATTTTTAGCATACGAATTTTGATACAATCAAAATATTATCTTCCGTCATATAACAAATATTGCATTTATATGACTCAGAATTACATTTTCTTGGAATATGATGATATATGTGATAATCTTTCTTATTTTATATACTTCAATGATTCCTTTTCATCATTAAACATATGATGTTTTAGTGCTTTTTCCATTGTGACTATTACAAAAAGCTTTCTTTTCATATTAAAATCTAGAATATGTAAGAACTTAATAATAGCATGCATTAGAATGCCTATTATGATTCAATAATAACGCCTACTTCAAATTATGTTCACCTGAAACAATATATTAACACTTTCATTTGAGCTTATTCTATAAAACATTAGATTATAAAAAAAAAAAAGAAAAATGTCAAATACAACAAATTTCTCATATTTGAATATCAATCAAACATATGAAATTATTGAAATTATAGATTCATATATGATTGTTATACTTTATATTATTGGTATGATTGGAGCAATTTTGAATATAATAACACTTCGTCAAAAAGAAATTCGATGTCATCCATGTTCAGTTTATTTTTTATTTTCATCAATTGTTGATTTTTGTATAATGAATATCAATATTTTATTAGAAATTATAATTATATTCAATCCATTTATATTTAATCTTATCTATTCAACACTATTTTGGTGTAAAATTGGTAATTATATAACATTTATATTACCTTGTTTATCATCAAGTTATATTATATTTGCATCAATCGATCGATATTTAGTTAGTTCATTAAATCAAGCAGTACGCAAGTGGAGTAATTTAAAAATAACTCGAATTGTAATTATTGTAACACCTATAATTTGGGCATTACTTGGATTATATATTCCAATTACAAATAATCTTGTATCAGATCCTAGAATAACTAATACACAATGTATCGCTCAAACTAATTCAGCCGTAATCTTTAGTATTATTGGTGAATTTATTTTTATATTATTTAATGGAGCAATAGCTCCATTACTTTTATGTATATTTGGTTTATTAATACTTTATGATAAGAAAAAAAGTCGACAACGAGTTCTTGCTCAACAACAGAATAGAAATAATTTTAATAGAATATCAAATGTTGCTAATCGACAAAATAAACATATGATAACAATGTTATTAGTACAAGTATCTCTTACAATTATTTTTAATATACCAAATATAGTTATTTATATGATAAATTATTTCAATATGAAATCATACTGTCTAATGCCTTTATTAATTTTGATTATTTTCAATACTATTGGAAGATGGTTTCATTATATGAATTATTGCAAAACATTTTATATAAATACATTAACAAGTAGTCTCTTTCGTAAAAGTCTTCGTAAACAATATCAACATATTAAACATCATCGTATAATAATTACCATTACAACAATATTTCCCATTAACAGAAACATTGGTTAGAATGTACAAATGTGATTGAAAATATTTTTAAAAGAATACGCAGACGAAGACATATTGATGCACTTTGTCCTACTCAACTTGGAAAAAAAATTGCATTTGTTTTTATACTTAAATCGAACTTTTTTTCACCAATGTTTACATAAATAAAAAAGAATTTTTTATTTGACGTGACGAAAACAAATATGATTCGCCTACGGTGGCTAATTTAACGCAGGCAAACCTGTCTAATGCGATAATAAAAAAGTATTGAATAAATAATAATAATTTTATATAAGTGTATATTCGAATTTTATTAAACAATGCGATGCACTATAGTAACTAAATAAAAACTTTTATTGTTGGAAAAAAAGTTCCACTGTGGATATTAAATCTATAATCGAAGTGCTGTAGCTGATAGAGACAAGACCAGGTAATGTAACTACGGATAGGAAAACGAAGATCAGTAACGAAGTTTTCTCTTATATGTATGACATATATGTAATAATCGAAAGTTGAATTCAAACATTCAAGTATTCAAATTTTCAAGTATTCAGATATTCTAGAGGGTGGATGTGAATGTGCGTGGGTGTGGGTGAGGGTGTAGTGTGTGGCTTCTATATCCATTACACACCCACACCCAGATCCACATCCACCCTCTGGAATATCTGAATATTTGAAAATTTGATTATTTGAATATCTGACTAATTGAATATTTGAATATTTAAATAGTTGAATATTTGAATACTTAAAAATTTGAATATCTAAATAACTGAATAGTTGAATATTTAAAAATTTAAATAGTTGAAAATTTAAATATTTGAATAGCTGAATAATTGAATATTTGAATTCAATTTTCGTATCTGACACTACTGCTCTTTTTAAAATGATATTATTACTTATGAATTCGAAGGTATAAAATGTAGCCTCGGAATGATTAACAATGAGTAAAACGAGATTACCATCTCATATGGAGCGTACTACATACCTCGAAAAAACTCCCCTTGTTGAAATGAAACAGATCATATTGGCACCAATTCGTTCAAGAGAGCCAATTTCTAATCCACAACTGAATCAAATTAACAACGGACTAACTAGTAAAACGCTCATATTACATAGAGAGAAAAGTACTAGGGCCAGAAAATCAATCAAATTACCATCGATTATTTCACAAACATCCACTTCAACATATAAAGTACCTAGAACAAAAGAATCAATATCTGACACAAAATACAATCATGATGTTACTAAACATAGATTACCGTTAATCTTACCGAAACATCCTACGAACAAAATATTAATCCATAAGCAAGATCCACCAGCAAAATTAATTACGAAAAAAGATCCAATACCAGTTACATCCGAAAATTTTACTCAAGCACAATCACAAAGTGGAGATTGTACAGTACGATCACAAGTTCATTTTGTTTCTCCGTTTAGACTTATTTGGTTAGATGCAAATATGATGACGCTTAGTGAAGATCATAGCGATCAAATTAATCAACTTCAAGAAGTTGTTGATCAAATAAATATTTTTATCGATTGTCAACGGTGTATTAATTTTCTTCAAAAGAAAACAAATGAAAAATTATTTTTAATTGTATCAAATATTCTAAGCCAATCAATGATACCTCATATTCATGATTTATCTCATCTTCAAAATATCTTCATATTTACTGAAATTATTCCAAAAAATAAACAATGGATAAAAAATTGGCCAAAGATTAAAGGTATTTTTCATAACATTGAAAGTATTCATCAACATCTACAGCAAGAAATTCAACGATGCCTTAGAGAATCCATTGCAATTAGTAATTCAAGTATTAATTTGGATCGCATTGACCCATCATTTATGTATACACAATTATTAAAAGAAATACTTCTTCATATAGAAAATGATCATACAGCTATGAAAGAATTAATTGAATTCTTTCGAAAAAGTCATTGTCATATACAACAAAGAATGAAAATTATTGATGAATTCGAACAAGATTATTATAAACATACACCTGTTTGGTGGTATACACGAGGTTGTTTTATTTATGATATGATCAATAGTGCATTACGATCACAAGATGTTAGTGTTATTATTCATACAAGATTTTTTATACGAGATCTTCATACACAAATTAAGCAATTGTATAAATTACCAACTGATACAATGATTCTTTATCGTGGTCAAGGACTTTCATATGGTGATTTCCAACAAATACGTACATTAGTAGGTGGTCTTTATTCATTTCATCAATTTTTATCAGCTACTTATGATCGAGCTGTAGCGTTATTATTTGCTGAAAGTTCTCGAGAAGATCCTAATTTGATTGGTATTCTTTTTCATATAAATATTGATCCTGCTGCGATTGAATCTCATTTTTTTGCTTCATTAGAAAATGAAAGTTGTTTCAAGAAAGAAAATGAATATTTATTTACTATGCATACTGTTTTTCGAATTGGTGAAATAAAACAACTTGAAGATCGATTATGGCAAGTCGAACTTTCATTGACACGTGAAGATGATAATGATTTAAGAACACTTACAGAACAAATTCGAGAAGTAACATACGGTTCAACAGGATGGAATCGACTCGGAAAATTATTTTTAAAAATAGGAAAATTAGATAAAGCTGAAGAAATCTTCAAAATTCTTATAAAAAATTCCTCGGAAGATAATTTAGATGAACTTGCTCATTATTATCATCTAATGGGAACAATTAAAGAAAATCAAAATAATTATATCGAAGCACTTGATTTCTATCTTAAAACTGCAAAAATTTATCAATCAGCATCCAATTCACATCATTTCGATTCCGCTACACTTTACAATAAAATTGGTTCAATATATCAACGAAATAAAGAATATTCAAAAGCATTAGAATTTCATCAAATGGCAAAAGATGTACAAGAAAAGTCTAAACCTCCCAATATCACAGAATTAGGAATAACGTATGGTAATTTAGCTGTAGTTTATAAAAATCTTGGATCTGGAATCGAAGCATTACACTATTATGAAGAAGAATTAAAAATTCATAAAAAATCTGTTCCGTTTAAATATATAGATTTAGCTATGACATATGAAAATATTGCTGAAATGTATTACAATATGAAAGAATATTTAAAAGCATTAGATTTATTTCGAAAAGTATCTAATATTCGACAATATTGTCTTCGTCATGATAATACAGAATTAGCTATTAGTTATAATAATATTGGTAAAGTACATGAAAAAATGGGAAACGATTTAATAGCAATTACACAATGTCAACTTGCACGAGATATTTTAAGAAAATCTATTCCAATGAATTATTCAGAATTAGCCAAGATTTGTAATAGAATTGCTGAATTATATAGAAAAATAGAACAACCTTCGAAAGCACTTGAATTTTATGAAGAAACATTAAGAAATTTAGATAGATCTTCTCATTTCAATGAAATCAATTTAGCAGCTACACATGATAATATTGGTCAGATGTATGAGAAAATAGATAGATTTAAAGAAGCATTCTTGTCATATAGAAAAGCTATTCAAATGGAAAAACAATCAATGATATCAAATGAATCTCAACTTCAATTATATCAAAAACATTTTCACAATGTTGGCGAAAAGTTAAAAATGAATCTAGACAGTTATAATCACAATCATGTTTAACAATATTGTATATTTATTTTTCGAGAGCTATAACTGATTGTCTATAATGAAACAGAATGACAATCTATACAACGTTTATATTAATAAATACCTAATTGAAAATTTTAAATTTTATATTTCAAGGCAATACTCCGAAAATAAAGCTTTTACATCAATGTTTAAAAATAATTTCCATAGTTTCAATGAACTTATGATAATTAATATATATATATTATAAAGAGTATCTACTGACTTCATTAATATAAGACAATGTTCTTTCGAGGATGCGAATGAAGAAGAAACATCTGTACCCTCCAGATGGTTTTCATTGATGGAGAAGTATATTTTATGCGAGTGCTTCATAGACCTTCATATATTTCCAGATCTATTTTCTGTTTACATCTTTTTATTCTTCTTTTTCTTTCGAGATCAAGTTGTATTTATATCTATCTATGCCATCTTTGGCTTTTTCAACACTTTTGCTTCGACCATTTCTATGCATACCGAGAATCTTATTGTACAGTTGAAATATCTCTGTCATGTTAGAAGTTTATTTATTTATATCACTCTGAGTTGACAATAATTACTTAAAAAAAAATTATTATACATGTGAGTATAAAGACGAAAGATGACGTGATAAGACGCTTCTCAAATTGAATCTCATGAGAACCACCATGCTGAATCGGTACAAACCAGGATGCAAACAGAACGAATACAAAAAATAATTCAATCAAAAGCAAATAACCATACGAATAGCTAATCCGAAGAAGAAGCAGACAAATAACAGATAAAATCCGACCTGCTGATAGGTGGTTGATAATGTAACTGTGTACGGCTGCAATAAAGACGAACATCTGTACACATGAAATGCATAAAGAAAAAATTACGTTGAACACACGAAACAAGAAAGATGGTGAATTTTTAATAATAGGAATGAACACTTCCATTTCATCGATAATACAATTATCCGATGTGGGAAAGTAAGGGACACCAACACCACCCTTATATAACATAGGAAAGTTGATCTGACATCGAAATTCTCCATTGGATTCATTAATGCCAAGATCTGGTCGCATCACATGACCGAATACAGGAGCAGACAGAATATCACTTACAATTGCGTAATTTTGATATTTTATATCTAAGAAGAATTTCTTGGCTGGAAGTTGTTGTGGAGTAATCAACGAGAAAAGAAATGCTCGTGTACTTCGACTATAAGTTGCAAATCCTTGCTGCGGTGTTATCCAGCTAGCATCGGTATAACCACCAAAAAGAAAGCCATTGGTTGAGGAGAGAAGGATGAATGTTTCATTTTTGTTGTCACAATATTCATGAAAAGCTGCTGGATTAAAACCATTTTTGGATCCTCTAAAAGAATTATTATTTTATTTAAAGAATTTATCTTTTCATATGAAGATTCCAAACCTGTAAATGAGTTTCCATTTGGAAATAGAAGATTTCGTACTATTGTAAAAAAGATTCAGATAATTTTGATGCTCACTGGTAAGAAGATTTGAATCTTCAAATTGTACGTTTAAATCAGGACATTGTTTTATACTAACGCATGAAATTGGTATGGCTTTGGTATTGTTTTCCAATACGTTTGTTGTTGCCGCTTCATTTATGACGGTTGTTGGGGAATTACTACCAAAGAAATAGAAGAGAATACCAAAAAAAAGAAAAGACAAGATGAAAGTTAGGACAGGATTGAACGAAGAAGTATCAATTGTAGTTCTTTGACAGCTTTCGCGATGTTGAATTACATGATTTTCACAGAAATGTTGATTACACTGGTGGCATTGAAAAGTATCAATATTGTTGAAACATCCAGTGGCCGAACAAACGTTGGATGAAGTCATTTCTACGACTGGAATGTTCTATATAAGAAAAAGAAAATATGTTCTAATGAATCAATATAGATGATTCAATGGTATGCTTTCTCCACTCCTACATTTCCGATCTGTAAGAGATCGATGTTGAATTTAAATATATCTATTGACTTACTGAACGATTCGCTTGTTGTTGTCCAACAGTAAATTAGGTAATATTAACTCTGTTTGATGCAGAATTGTTTTCACGTCTGCGTTGAGAAACGGTTCTCATACTACATGTTTTCTGCATATGATCATGAAATTGTCCTCTTTCCAAATCGATCTGTCCACAAGCACGACATCGGACAAGAAGTTTATCAAGTATATTGCGAACCATATGAGGGGCTGGTGTAAGAACCTCGAGTGAGAGAGACCCTCGACAAAGAGGGCAGGTTTTGTTCTCCGGTTCTTGTAACCAATGTGTCACACATTCACAACAGAATGTATCATGACATGGCGTACAGCACGGATCACTGAAAGGTGAAGAACAAATACTGCACTTCAACTCAGGATTTATGTCATCCTCATTCATATATTCATATGCTGTAGTCATGGTTATATATTTATCTAAAACGAAATATTTTTGGATGCGAGTGTGTATTAAGTCAAGTGACTCTAATAACTACACCAAATTAAAAACCAATCCAATTATATTGCGAATTTTATTTGAAAATACAACATAAGACAGAATTAAATAAAATTATTCAAAAAGTAAGATATTTAGTTTATATTAAAAAAGAAATACATACAAGACATTGTTATAACTTTATATTTACGAATAAGATAGTCGTTTACTTATATGCACATATGTGTATACAATCAGTTAGCAATATACACTTATGTGGGCATAAGCACGTCTTTTTATTTCTGAGTAATAACAAACCTATGAATCAGCTCTGAATTTATCGTTCTTGGTTTTTTCCCATATGCATGCTTGTTTAATTTTATTTTTCTTTAATATCGAGTTTTCGTATTCTAATTATTTTTCTATTTTTTTAATCTCTTTTACGCCATCTGTCTACCTTACATCGTTTTCTTTCCTGCATATCAATTTATTTCGTATGTATTGAGCAATATTTTACATATACTCGTTTTGAATTATTCGAATCTTTTTTTTTCTTCATCTCGAATTTTTTTAGTATTTTTAAAATACCCAATTGATTTACACAGGAACTTTTCTAGAAATATTCATATTAGAAAAGATGTAAATAATCGATTTTATTGGATTTTTACCTTTTAACTTATTAATTGTACGTAAGAAACATCAATTGAAACCCATTTTAAGAAGTGTGAATCTAAATTTCAGTTGATTATGATACTATCATATCTACATCCATATCCTTTAAAACTGATCAATGAGTTGAAATATTATTTAAAATTAATTTCATCTGAAATTATAAAAAATAATATTTTAAAATTCTAAAATAAAACATCTCGTACATTAGAATTTGAATTCAATTATTAATATTCAAAGGAACTTTGTCAATCAATTGAATAATTTTAACAGAAGAACACTTATTTCTTAGAAAAAATTCTCAACAAAAACTAAATTTTTATTCGTTTAGATAAATGTAAACATTCTATTAGAATATGAAGTTGAATTAATAGTTTATCATTAAATTAAAACGTTTAAATATTGAATAAAAAAATAATTAAATGATTAAACTTTTATTTTCTTTTAAAAAAGTATTTTATTCCTAATTATTCAAGTGTTATTGTAATGATATTTTATTCACAATGATTTATTCGATTAACAATTCTGTAAACGTTTATTTCAATTAGAAAAGAAAACTTTCAATGTACAATTTTGTTATTATTCACATTAAATATTGTTTTGAATATATATATTTAATAATATTTTTATTATGAAAAATAATTAGAACACGATGTATAAATTGTATTAGTATTAATTTAAATAAAAAATGATTGTTAGTTATAAAAATAAATATTTAAATTTTTGAATTGAAGTAAAATTTTAACAATAGAGAAATAAATTGAAATAAATTGTTCATATTTTAAATTTTCATTTTAAAGCATAAAGTGTTCTTAATAAAATATTGAGGGTGTGGGTGAGTATAAAATAAACAACAAAGACCATATTCACACCGACACCCTCAAGAATATTAGCAGGAAATACTCGAATCTGCTGCTAACGTTACTTACGTTATCTGATTCTGTCTTTGAGAACTACTTCGGCTTCATCTTATAAAATATTTATATTCGATTTTAGACATCAATGAAGAAAAAGAGAGTCTTTCAAACTTTGTTAATTATAGTCAGAAACACAATAATTATGCATATTATGTATCATTTTATATTGCTGAAATAGTCATAACAAAAAGTTTAGTTATACTTTCTACCACGTTTTTGTCATTGAAAAAGACATCATTATTTTTTCTCTTTTCTTCCAATAAGTAATTGCAATATCATATAAAATGTATGATGCATAACGAATATGTATTCATTGGGTAAGAAGAAAAACAAAAACACAGTATATGATCAACATATAAAGTAACACATTACACGTAATATCGATAGCCTACAATGGCAAGTCAAACAATCTCCAGTTTTATTGAATTGCCGGTAGAACTTGTCTACCGAATTCTGGACCACCAGTCAGACTTCACAGTTATCTGTTCGATGATAAATGTGTGCGAACGATTCAACAAGATCTTAGACAGTTATTATCGGTATCAGGTAAATTTTTTTCTATTGTCTCTCAAAATATTTTCTGTTCCTACAATTTATATTTAAGTAGAATAACTTCAATAGAATATACATGAATAAGCTATTTTTCACTCAAACTAACTCATCCTTTATCGATCGCTATTCAAACTTTAGTTTTTATGTTATAATAGATTGAAAATAGTTTCTTTTCTCCAGTCTTATCTAAATATTTCACGTTTTTAACCAGCCAACTGATCTCATAATAGTGTGACGTTTATACAAGAACGAAAAAAAACCAGCTAAAACATTATTATTTGCTTTTTATATGTACCTAAACACTCGTTTGTACATACTATTTTGATAATAAAAGTCATATTTCGAAAGAAATTAACGATTCGTAAACTATTCTATCATCTTATGAATAATATGCTAGACGTTTCTGGGAGAAAAGTCTTGCATTAGTGTTTCTCTAAGAGCATAGATGAATGTGGATAGAGAGAAGATTCATACACAATTATAAATCTATATTTTCATTTAATTACATCATTTTTCTTCAAACTAATCACTTCAAAACGCATTTCATCTAAAATAATTTTTCTTGAGAATGACATTACGAACATAATTCATTGTCAAGAAGAACATCGAGCACAACTTGTAAGAAAAACTTTTTCTTCGACGTTTTAACGCCTATTCAACTTCCACTCACAATTAGTCTGATATTGTGCAATAAATTTGCGATAACTTTTATGCTTTTATAAATCAGTTTTGTTTTTTGCATACAATCTTATGTTAGCATCCAGAACTACAATCTAAGTCATATACATAAGTCAACTCAACTTAGATGATTAACGCGAAGTTCTCATGCAAAACACAACTGGAATCTTATCAATCAACATGAATATAATATCCGTCCACCAACTACTGACAAGAAACTATCTTTTATCGTACAGGAAGAATGATGCCGAACAATACACCAAGCTCTATTGCAATCTGAACCATTTACGGCATCACAGCTCTTTTCACCCATAACAAAAAAAACCACCACAATTGATAAAACGTTTCCTTCGATTACCATCATCTGAAACCTACGCAATTTCATATATAAAGCTTACTGGACATCCTTTACCCGTAGTAACTCACTTTCAATCTAGATTATCGCAAAATACTATCACTCACTGTGCAACATATAAAACCTCCCAAATACTTGTATTGATATCTATGAGCCTTTGAATCAGGTCAGCAAAACATTTCTGTCACTTCTCTAACCACGAATAGCATTGACCAACCATTCACTCTGTTCATCTATGCCATGTATTATCTTGGCTTTTTCATCTAGACAATCACTAGACTAGATCTCAAGGATAAACAAATCGATAATGTTAGGGTGCAATGTTTAGCTGAAGCATTAAAACGTAATACGGTAACTCTCATTTTCTTTCTTTGTCTATATCATATATTCACTTTCACTTTTACATCTAGACCCTCACTGAACTAGATTTCACAGGGAATAAAATTGGTCGTATTGGAGCACAATATTTGGCTGAAGCATTAAAATATAACACGGTAACTCTCATCTTCTTCCTCTTTCTATACCATGTATTCACCTTCACTTTTCCATCTAGACACTCACTACACTAGATCTACGAGAAAACCAAATTGGTGATGTTGGAGTACAATATTTGACTGAAGCATTACACCACAACACAGTAACTCTCAGTTTCTCTTTGCCTATACTATGTATTTATCTTCACTTTTTCATCTAGACACTAACTACACTAGAACTTCAGTTTAATCGAATCAGTCAAGTTGGAATACAATATTTGGTTCATACATTAAAACACAACACGGTAGCTCTCAGCTTCTTTTTGATTATACCATGTTTTTGCGTTCATATTTTCATCTAGACACTCACTACCTTAGATCTCAGTTATAATCAATTTGGTGATATTGGGTTACAATATTTGGCTGACTCATTCAAACACAACACAGTGACTTTCATTCTCTTTTCGTCCATATCATGTATGTATCTTCACCTTTCCATCTAGACACTCACTGCACTAAATCTCGGTGGTAACAACATTGGTGATGTTGGAGTACAATATTTAGCTGACGCCTTAAAACACAATACGGTAACTCTCATTTTTCTTTGTCTATAGTATATATTTATCTTCACTTTTCCATCTAGATACTCACTACACTAGAATTGTATTACAATCAAATCGGTGATGTTGAAGTGCAATATTTGGCTGACTTATTAAAACACAACACAGTAATTTTCATTCTTTTTTCATCCATGTCATGCATTTACTAGTGGCGTAACTAGGATTTCGTGCGTGTCTTGGTGGCGCCTTATACTATTGATAAGGAAATAAAATATACGAAGGGCTCATATAATAAAGAGATACAACGCATAATGAAAAATTTTCCCAATAGCCTGACAAGGACGAGCGGTGGCTGGGCGCTGCCAAGCCATGCTAGACCTTGGTTATGCCATCAATATTTATCATCACTTTTTCATCTAGACACTCTTAAGACTATGCCTCACTTGTAACCTAATTACCAATGTTGGAGCACAATATTTGGCTGACTCATTAAAACACAACACAGTAACTTTCATTTTCTTTTCATCCATACCGTGTATTTACCTTCACTTTTTCATCTAGACACTCATTAATCTATATCTTGATGCAAATCATATTGGGAATGATATAGATAAAGAAATCAGGAAATTACTCGAACGCAACGAAAGACAAAGAAAACAATGGATGGTAAAATTAAAAATATTTGGTTATGCAAGAAATCGCTGGTTGTTTTTCCTGTTCTGTGTGATTCTTGTGTGTTTTCTTCTCTTCCTCGGTTTATTATCATCATCTATTCCTGAGTTATGACTGGTACCGGCGACCAGCCGGTCGAAATAAATATTTTTCTACCAGACCGGTACAAGATTTTTCTGATTATTTCGAAATCTACTCACTGATTTTTGACATTCCATAGTTTTGTTCTACACGAAAGGGACGTGATCTCACCAAACCAATATCACAGTAGCTATATACTATCAAAGTACTTTCATTATTCTATATGGTTTCTAGAATGAGAAAAACTCGATGTTTTTTGACCACCGCCTTTGAATACTATTTTTATAAGTGGAAGGAACAATTTTCTGTCTATGCTTTGTATTAATATACTATAAGAAACTGCTTCAGAGTAATTAATTGATTATAAATTGTAACAAGTAACGTAGTAGACATTCTTAAACTAAAACAAAATTAGTTTTTCTCTTTTGCAAGGGTGGAAAACGAGCATTTTCACTTTAGAGGAGGACGAGAAGAAGACCATTTTATTTCTTTCATTTATGGCATTGTATTCGCCGTTCTTTAATATAAGGAAGTTATTAACATTACATACTGCTCACTTTCACAAAATATTGTTGCATATACAGAGAGAAAAAAAAGAAATGCCAGTTTCCATAGTATTGCAGTTTACGTAAGAAGTCCCGTATAATTATCAGCCCGTTTTTCTCTACTAAACTGGTGTTTTGTGGGAAAAAAAACACTAATTTCTTCTTTCTTTACGAGACTAAGAAAAAGAAAGAAACGTTTTATTTCAACTGATATCAGAGTTGTAAAGAGGGTTCTACGTGTACCAAACCATTTGAAATTTTCTCAGACAAAGAAACAAACGTTATTTTGCTCTTCTGCTAGAAACTTCACTCGGCTACAACATGTCTATTACTACTGCTCCAGATTATGATTCCAAAAAACCATATCGACCAAAAATACGAATGCATAATCCACCAATTCCAGAAGCCATTTTAAATCGATGTGTTCTGATAAAAAAGTTTCAGAGCAATCAAAATGAAATAAATGAAGAAGTTGATCCAATGGGTTTGATCAATAAATACAAACCTCATATCCTCAATCGGTTCAATGTCAACCGGTACCTTCCTGACGATCATCGGGCTATACAATCGTATCGAGATGTTCTCACAATTCCAGCCGAACAGGTTCCAATATTCAGTGCTCCGCAACTCAATACATTATTTCCTGCATTGCCTCCCAATGAGATCCCTCAACCAAAATATAGCTCTCTCTTGCCCATCTTAATCCCTGCACAAGCTGCCGATATAGATTTTTATCAATACGATATTGTCAGCGAGAGGAATTCCCTACTAAAAATTGCCTCGACTCATAAAGAGTGTATCGTAGGAGTAGTCCGTTGTGGGAAAACATTGTTTCTCAGACGGTATGACCGACGACGTGCTAATCAAAATGATGCAGGGTATCAGTTTGAGCGAATGTGCACACCCGGTTATGATCTTGAAGTCGAGTACAAATACCTGATCGAAGGATACATTGGCAATTTCCAAACATTAATAACAGCTCAAGTTCATTCAGTTTCTGAAGATGATGGTCTACCTATAGAACTGAAATGTCCAGAACTAAAATGTTCACGATCGAATTGTCCACAATTGAAATGTCCAGAACTGAAATGTTTAGAAGGAGACGGTAAGCTCCATCTCGACGAAAAATGGTTACAAATGTTTCTTGGTAAGTTTGACTTTTTTGAATCGAAAAATAGGGCTGTTCTTATTTTTTCTTAGGTGGAGTAGAAAAACTCAAGGTTGGTTTACGATCTGGCGGTCGGTCCGCACAATTACTGCAGATTGTCCCCTATGACGCAGCGAACATGGTCGACGTCAATATCAAAATAAATTTTTTACGGTATCTTAACCAGGTGCTTCTTTTTCTTCAAGATAATGTTCAAGAAGCTCGTAGTTATTTGCTCTGCCGTTATCGTCATGATGAATCATCGAGAGATATGGATTTATTCTTGTATGAGGTGACTGATCGAGAAGATATGCAGACATTAGAATTTGTTCCGAATTGGATGCTCAAAAAACTGCAGATTCGCAACACATGATTTTACTTTTCTTTATATTACATTTTCAATTCTACTCAAGATGAACGTTTCTATTTATTCACACCAAAAAATATTATTCCTAAAACTAACCCAAGCTTTTCCTAAATTCAGAACCTTGTAATCATCATTTGTCAATAAAATACAACACAAAACTGAAACAAACTATCTTAAGGGTGTGGATGTTGGTAAAAGATAATAATAACATCCACATCTACCTACACCCGTCCAAAAATTTAAATGGAAACTTATTTTTTAGATACAAAGAAAAATAGATCTTCTTGGAAAAATGTTCACTAGTAGAAATGACTTTCTAATATCTTCTATTTGTCTTCATTCTTCACGAACAATTCAACAATGTTTGTTTGATTATAAAAATAATAACACAATCATATAAATTATGAATAGAAGGCAGTTGATCTAACATTTAAAATGTAGAGTACTATAATGATTTTGAAATAATAAGAAACTAGATAATTTCATTTTATTGATTACTATTAATACTATTGCCTGTAAACAAGAAAAAATAGTAATACCTATTTTTTTCTCCATATATCTTTACTTCATTGGTTTCCATTCATAAAAACTCTTATTTTGATATGATCTGAAATGATTTTTTTATCTCTGTTATATTCTAGTCTTTACAAAAGATTACAATATTTTATTCATACACTCTAACCTTTTAGTATCCAAATAATGATTAAAAATTCTATTTATTTTTATTTATCACACACTCTCGACATAAAATGAACGACTATATATAGGTTAGCAAAAGAAGCAAACCCATATATGAATACGAAAAGAAAATCTTTATATAAGAAGAAGAATAGAAAAGAAAATATAAAGCAGAACGAAAGAGAATATAACACATATACGATCATATGTGGATAAGATGCAGGGCATAACATTCTATTGTTCATTTGATTATTTTATTTTAAAATAAATTCGATTCTGCTTCAAGTATCTATTATATGATCAAAGAACTTTTGAATTCAGAATAAAAGAAAAACATAGATTTTTCTTTGTCTTTCTTTTTTAACGTTATATCAGACATATACTGATCACATTTTTTATTTTAGTGAGTGAAAACAAAAGTCAAAATGGTCGATGAACTTGATACAATACCTCCTAAATTATCTTATATTAGTTTAACTAGTGAAGATCAAATTAATGCAGCTAGTAAAATTGCTATTATGAATATAGATCCATTAAAATCTACATCACCTGATCATCAACCAACCATTACAAATAATACAACACCAATATTTTCAATTCGAAAAATTTATAAAAACTTAATTGTACTCTCTATATCATTTATTCTTTTATTTACCGCTTATAGTGGTATGTCAACACTTCAATCAAGTTTAAATACAAAAAATAATGTTGGTGTTAATTCTCTAATTATAACTTATTCCTTTTTGATTGTAAGTAAATCAACTTTTATAACAATATAAAAACAAATTTTTACTTGTATTAGTTTAGTTCTATAGTTTTTATTGGTATTTGTATGGATTTATTTGGTCTTAAATATACGATGATAATTGCTACAATTGGTTATATATTTTATATAGCTGCTAATATAAAACCTTTACCAGTACTTATGTATATCAGTAAGATATGATCAACAAATATTTCCTTTTTTATAGATATTGTGTTTATTTTAGGTGCAGCTCTTGTTGGTTTAGCTGCAGCTCCATTATGGACAGCAAGTGCTACATATCTTAATCAAATAGCTCGTTATCATTCTCAACATAAAAATCAAACTCATGAAATATCAGTTAGTTTATTTTTTGGTATATTTTTTGCATTATTTGGTACAGCTACAATTTGGGGTAATCTAATATCCTATTTTGTACTTCATCAATCTAGTGTTGCACAAAAAATAAATTGTGGAATTCATTTTAATCCTACATTAGCTTCACCAACAAATACAACTCAAAATGCAGATGACACAGCGGTAAAACAACTCTTTTTTTCTTAAATAAAAACAATCAATCACATGTTTATTTTTTTAAAGCGTTATATTCTTTGTGGAATATTTACTGGAATGGGTCTATTATCAATGTTACTCTTATTTTTAATACTTGATTCAATTGCATTAACTCAAAAGCGTATGAAAGAATTTTGTTTTTTAGTTCGATATTCTTTTTTTTGTTTGTGTTATTTAGAAACTATGAAACAATTATTAAAAAAAAGTCTTGAAGTTCTTTTATCATTAAAAAAATGGAAACATATTGATCAATTTTTTCTCATACCAATTACAATGTGGACAACAATTGAAGCAGCTTTTATAACAGCACAATTTACTCGAGTAAAGAAATCTATTTTACTAAAAATATTGAAATACTTCTTTTACATTAGGGTTTTATAACTTGTCTTGTTGGTATTCGGTATGTTGGACTTGTTATGGTATGTCATGGAATATTTCAAGCATTGAGTAGTTATATCTTTGGACGTCTTGTTAAATATACAGGCCGAATATTTGTATTTATTGTTGCTGCTTTAATTAATTATGCTATGATTATATTAATGTTTCTTTGGGAACCGAAATCAAATCAAATGGTTTTATTATTTGTAATTGCTGGATTTTGGGGAATTGCAGATGCAATTTGGCAAACACAGGTTATTGGTATGAAAATATACTTATCATACATGAAAGTAATTGAATATAATATTTCTCTCTATTTTAGCGACTTATACCGTTTTTTATTCGGAAACTGATTCAAGTGCTTTAGCAAAATATCGTTTATGGAAATCAGTTGGTTTTGTGATAAGTTTCAGTGTAAGTTTTCATATATATATAAATTCAAATGAATAATTACATTATTTTGTTTTTTGCAGTATGCCAGTTATGTAACTATTCGAACTTCTCTTATTCTTCTTCTTATTTATTTATCTATAAGTATGCTATGTTATGCATTTGTTGAAATATATCGTCGTTGGAAAGAACATTCAAAAAAGAAATGTGCTATTGCAAATACTACATAGAATGATAATTCCTTTTTTTCTTTTTCTAAAATAAATAGAATATGTCTGTCATATATCAACGAGCAAATTGTTATCTTTTATAAGAAAAAAATACTATATCTTTTCTTTTTTTTTGTATGATTTTTAATAAATGATTTATTTGAATATTCACATAAATCTTTTGTCAATCGAGGTTATTCATTTGATGATGTTATTGTACAACAGGGTGTGAGTGTGAATGTGTGTGTGGATATAAAATATACATTCACACTCACACCCCACCTTCTATGAAATAAGTTGTTTGAAATATAGACATTTTGTTGAAATAAAATAATAAATTTTTTTGTGCCAAGACTCTTGACATAAGTTATAAATATTTTTAAGCGAATAAATATAATGTCATAAGATAGTTAAGAGTATTAATAAAATAAAGAACTGAATAAGATACAATAAAAAGATTAAGATAAAGAACAAAAGCAATACAATTCATTAGCCTGCAAAATAATTTAGATTTCTTTAAAATGATTATGTTATCTATAAAAGTTAACTATACGTGAAAGAATAGAGTAAAGATTTTGTGCATCTACATCTTGAAGGTATGAGTATGATTGCAAAAAACACAGAGATCCACACACCGACAACCACACCCCCACCTACTCTCAAGATCTATTCACTCATACTTTCACTTCATGTTATTTGATTTCGATATTTAACAGAAAGAACTTGATTATTTTCTATGCCGCTTCCATGACCAGGATCTGGAGCAACTATAGTTTTACCGACAGACATAAATTGATCATCATCATCACCAAGTAAGATTTGCCCACTCATATTTTCACTTAATGTTATTAAATTTTCATTATGTATGGATATTCTATTGAATTGCGCATAACATGAATTTGTTGAATGAATAAACAGACGATCATCGTCACATCTATTACGTCTTTTTTCGTCTGCTGTTAACGTTGAATTACCAGATTCAAGAACTTCACGAGCTTCAAGATCTTTAAGAGCTGCAAGCAACTCTTTGTTGTCAACAAATGGTAGCTTAACAACACCTTGTTTCTCGTGAGGTTTACCATTAGGATCAACGACAAAATCTGTTCGCCAAAAGCGATTAATTGGTAAGCTTATATCCAACATCAATAATCGCCATTTCTCTGGTAGATAATGTGCATATTGTGGTGGAAATGTAGCCATCATTTGTTCTAATGGTTTCAATGGCTTTGAATTTGCAACAAAATCGACAGATATATTTTCAACATTTGAAAATGTAGAAGCAAGTGGAGGATAATAGTATGGATAATACCTAAAACATACCAGGAATAATTCTGCTATAAAAATTCAATAAAATACATACCAATCCCATGATGGTACGCCTTTGTAATAATAGTGAAGCATCCAACATAAACCTACAGCATAATGTTTAGCAACTTCAATAGAACGTTCTACTAACTCATGTTTTCTAAAATCAAATCTGTATCGATACCAATCATCCTTCTTGAACTGAGTAGTATCATTTGAACTATTATTTTTTGATACCGTAGATGATGGGTTACCGGCATTATTCTCGTTACAACGTGATGGATTTTTTGATTTTTGAAATGGTGGTGGGCGAAATTCTACAGATGAGCGATCGGAAATTGGTGCTAGTTTTCTACAATAGCCGAGTAAAGACAAATCAATGCTATATTATTTCTTAATTTACAAATTTTGAGTATTTACATACTTAAGTTCTTCCAAATATCTTGATGATGTTTGTAATAATGCTGGATTCTGATTTAGAAGGAACGTGATCTGATCATATTCTAGCTCAGCAATAGGTTGTAAAAGAATTTTTAGATTCGTCAAATTCGGTTTCATATCTTCTATTAAATAACCATTCTCTTTGAATACATATTCTTTATAGCCATTGATAAGAATACTAATATTATCATATTTATAGAATTCAATGCATAGTAAGTTTGGAAGAAAATCATTTCCAGCCAAAAAGCACATAAATATCCAATCATCAATTATTCTTTCAACATCTCGACCTCTTGATATTGGTAAATTTTTTTGTATATCATTCTTGATTTCTTCACGTAATACTTTTAATTCTAGAAGTCTGTATGATTCTGTTTTGTCTATTCTTTGCATTATTTGAACATAATCTGAATGGAGTGTTAAGCCAAGTAATACCACATCAGAATCACCACTAAGCAAAACGTGAGATGTCTTCAAGTTGTGAGGTTTCTGTGTACGTATAAAATCCATTATCTTATGTTCACCTTCACCAGGTACATTTGCATCCGATAATATAACTATTATTGAACTCCAAGCTGGATTTTTATTCATCCGATTATAAATATAAGATCGAAGATGTTCGGATAATTTTGACATAAATATTGTACCAGGTTTTATATCACATTTATTGAATTCCCCAGCTTTAAAGACATGCGTTCGCGCATCAAGAAAATGCTTGGAACGTTGATTATGCATTTTCGCTTTTGGTGCAACACCATCCATAGCCATATAGAGTAATTTACGTGGGCGAACAATTGAAAATATTTTATCAATACTTTGGAAGATTCTTCTAATAATTTCATCTTCATTCTTTGATACTGATGAATCGTCTATTTTTGCAGATAAATGAAATATCTCATTCATATCTAAATAAAGATTATCGACCTAAAACAAAATTAGATAGAAATATACAATTGTACAATTCAAACTATACTTCAATTCCACTTGGGTTTGAAGTAGGTTGACCATCTGCAACTTAAAACGAAAAAGAGACAAAATGTAGATGAAATTTATTTCTGATGCAAAACTTACCCTGAACACACGATTTAACAATCGTTGGATATTTGTTTTGTAACCAACTAGAAAATCCTGGAATTCCCATATTGAGATGACAATTAATGCTTAACAAAAACCAAATCTATAATGAAAAAAACATTTTATCAGTAATCTCTTGTATCCAAAATTCTAAATGATTATTTCTTGTATCATGTAATAAAATGGATATACTCGTGTTGAAACTAAGGATATGGATGTGAAGGATGACAGGAGTAGTCGAACGCAATTCTAACATTCACACTTTCATACATATGAAATTATTAATCAGTAGTAAGTGCAATTTATTTTATACTGTCGGCAATATTTACTAAGTGCTTGAATTATTAGAATAAATATCCCAAAACCTGCGTCGTCTGAAGCCGCTCGATCTTTTTTTTTCTTTTATCAATAAATAAACACAATACAATCTTCTTTTGTTAATTGTGATTCATTACTCGAAGTGGTATAGTCAGATGAAACAGTATGTAATATGAATCAATTACATTTTTTTATACATCTATTCATTTGGCTTTATTGAATTGGTTGGAAAAACAAAAGAAGTTGTGCATTTACCGCAGAAGAAATCATTTTTGTAGGGAAACAAGAACGGATGACTGGATAATATTTCTTTCATATAACTCGAGTATGATGAAAACTGTTGTCTTTTTCTTTTTCTTGTGTCCTTGAAATATACAATGTGTAGTGTGAATATATAGTCTACACAGCTACGACTTTCATTATATGAAGGAAGAGAAAAAATATTCATTTTTTATCATCTTGACAATTAGAAAACATTCGTTCTTTTCCTTGAAAGAAGCCAAACGACAAATACTTCTTCGCTAAAAAATGTCGAGAGATTGTCCTCCACTTTACTTTCTACAATCCATCGATTATTCATCGATCAGGATAAATTTTTCTAGAGAAAGTGCAGAAATAAAATCAGTTCTATCTCATATATGAAGGTCATTCAAGTTTATATCACGAGGAAGTGAGTGTGGATGTGATTGTATTATATTTATATATCATCTAGTCTTCCATATCAATACACTACCCCTTGCTCCGTTTCTGATAGCTCATCAACATTTAAAAAATCAATATAATTCAAAGAGATCTTGAGGATGTGGGAGTAGATTTCTATCATTGATTGACACCCATCTAATAAGTATTTATATTGATTAATGAATTTTGGGAATGTGGGTATGGCGTGTTGATCTTTTCTTTACTCGCGTTGCATACTCACCCACATCCACACTCTACGGCGAATGGTGATATTTAAATAAGGTTGTGGTGAGGTTCAGGATGTTAGTGGGTGTTGGATGTGGGTTAATGAGAGTCTTTACTCTTTATCTACACCCATACCCACATCCTTAAGTCAATTTCTTCACAAGTCAAAGGCTGTCTTCGCTATAACTGTTCAGGATCAAGCTGGAAAAGTTCACTAGTTTCAACTCTATTAGAAATGACTACCTACATATATTTCAGACCTGATGTCCTTGATGAATACGTCATTATTCTATATGAAAATATTTTTCTAATCAAGTAACTCCTGTGCCACAAAACAGTTTAAAATTGTTACATCTGGTTTTATATTGAATTGTCTATGAAAGATCAGAGTAACATCATTTGATACGATAATAGAAGTTCTAAAGATGAAATCAAGAATCAGTTCGAAAAATACATTGTTTGTGGGTTCCCAATGAATTTTCAAACTGTTTGTAAATATATTAATGAGAAAACGCTTTGAATTCCAGTCAGTATTGGATTTCATCTAATTTCTATTTGTGACAGATAATACTCACCAAGTACTTGATTATTTGAATCAATACTGTGAAGGAAATGTTGTTTGAACAGCTCTTTCCTTTTTCTTTCCAACTATAAATGAAACGATGTGATATACTTTCTTTTTTCTATAAATTTGATACCTCAAAGTAGCATGCGATTGATTGAAACAACAAAAAAAAATGATTTTTTTTCTTCGACAATATTGTATCAGAGAAAAATAGACAGTAATTGCATATTACTTCTTCCGTAAAGCAGCTGTACTATGGAAACCAACATTTTATATTTTTTAATTTCCTCTATGGAAATATCACGATATAATGTAAACGACGGTCGGCGCTGATGAAAACTTCTATTTATTAGAAAACGCATATTGTGCTGCAGAAGGTGAAACAAATGGAATACTCTTTTTCCTTTACTCTCTTCTTCTATTCATTCTCGTATCTAGCAAAGAGATATTTCCTCATTTAAAGAAAGAATAAAAAAGTGTTGGTTTCTTTTTTCTTACAATATATATTTTTGTCGTTCTTTCACTCCAGTATAGAGTAAAAAATGAAACTCATTTTATCCGTACAGCGAGAGGACTGAAAAGCGTCTCGAAAGAAAACAAAACTAGGATTCGTTTAAAAAACAAAGTTTTGAATATATCATATCGACTAGCAAATGACTAGTCTTTTCTCCTACTTGTTCTTTCCTCACTTAGATCTGTGAGACACATCTTTTACAAGACTAATCAATCAAATATCGAACTATTGCTCCAAATAATCCATTTTTAAATGTAATTCTAATGAATTTATCAACGAAGGGTGGGTGTGAGTGAGTGAGAATCACTACTCTTTATCAACACTCACATCCTCAAGTTGATCCCTGATACCAAGCAAGGGTCCCACAACCTTTTGGGGATTGTATGTTGATAGTGCTTAAAAGATTTGGAAGCCTTCTGTAACTGCTCTAGAATGAATGTGAGGCTATCTTTTCTTAGTCCTTACCTACATCCACAAGATTGCTGTCACACTCTTCCTGACCATAAACCCTTTAAAATACCGACTGTGTTGAACTAGATTATCTCCTTTATACTATAATTGATGTACGCGAGGGTGAGATTATTATTTTCACCCTTACTCTGCCAAGCAGTTGACAACTCCATTGAACTGACAAATACTCGAAACAAACTTCGATCCTTACGTGTGTGCGTTAAGAGACAAAAAGCAACACCGGACTTACTACCTATTGTGAAGCTACGAATTAATTTACTTTTCTTCTTACTGAAGCGGAAATAGCTTTTTTCCAGGAAAGCGCGTGCGAGAACAAAGAAAAACAACTTTTGTTCGTGGAGTAGAATGAAGTGATGGACGGCAAGAAATTCTTCTGGAAACTAGAATATAACGGAGATGACAAACAAGTTTTCTCTCCGGGAATGATACTGAAAATATGTTGAGGATGCGTGTGTCATGGATATAATACTTCTACCCGCACCTTCAAGAAAAAAGATATTTATAAAAATTTTAAAATGCCAAATAGTAAGAGTTAAATAGGAAAAAGATCCATATTGCAGATCGACAACCGACAGAAGATCATAGCAACGTTGTTTTCTTACACGCCAAATATGTAGTATCAAATTCTTTCAACCAACATCGGGTACTTGCGTCAGTAAAATGTATTTAAACGAACTAATGTCTAGAAACACGAGTTTATCCATAATTATTTTTGTAACTTTTGTGTCGAAATCTTCTACATCTTGCAAATGTTTATGTATTGAAATGAATGTATACGTCATGTCATTCTTACATCTATTCAATCTTAGAAGTATTTTTATAATCGTTATTTCTACTATGAATTGAATTCAGGGTGTGAGTGCGGGTGTGGTTGAAGAACAGATATTTACATTCACACCCTTTATAAAAGTGAAAACTCCAAGAACGTCACTCGGATAGTAAGCCTGATGGGTTCTCGAAACACCATCTCCATTCTAAAAAAACTTCTTCGGTAGCCCCACAAGTAAGTATCGTCATCTACTGTATTCATCAGAATGAGAAGATATATTATTTCCATGTATATTAAAAAGACGAGCGTAGGAGTTAACTTTTAAAAATATACTCAAATATACAATTACTTTCGGTATAATAAGAAGGATAATATTACATTATTCAATGTTAGAATAATACTTAAAAAAGATAATTGTCTGAAGGTATATGTTTTCATACATAGAATATTTTTAATAACCAATAATTTTACGTACTAACTATTTACGTCATTTTTTATTAAAATCTCAGTGATATCTCATTAATAGAATATTCTATTTCTCAAATTTTATCTTATCAGGTGTACAAATAATTAGTATTGTGATCTTCGGCTTTCTCTAATACATTTTCTCATTAAGAACTCATCAATATTTTTCATAATTATTTTTTCTATCATATTACAATACGTAAGTCTATTATGTAGGTTAAAAAAATCGTCCTCATTTTATCTAAGATACATTGTAAGAAAATGTTAGATATAACTCGAGTATCACAAATTCTTTTAAGTATGGATTCATATATGATTATTATACTTTATATCATCGGTAGTATTGGAGCTATTTTAAATATAATAACATTTCGACAAAAACAAATTCGAACAAATCCATGTGCCACTTATTTCTTATCAAGTTCAATTATTGATTTTTGTATAATGAATACATCTATATTACTAAATATTATTATTACATTTGATAAATTACTTTATAATCAAATATATTCAACAAGAACTTGGTGTAAATTTGGAAATTACATTCTTTTACTATTACCATGTTTATCGTCAAGTTATATTGCATTCGCAACAATTGATCGATATTTTGCTAGTTCATTAAATCCAACACTACGAAAATGTAGTAATTTAAAAGTTAGTCGTATGATAATATGTATAGTTTTGATTATATGGGTTTTATTTGGAATACATATTCCAATTGCTTATGATTATAGTCCAGAGGAAAATGAATGTACAGTTGAAACAAACTCAGCCACAACGTTTATTATCATTGATGGATTTTTCTTTTCATTATTTAATGGAGTTATTGTTCCATTTCTTTTATCATTATTTGGTTTATTAATATTTCTTAATATAAAAATAAGTCGTCGACGTGTTCATAGTCAACCAGAAAATAACCATCATCCAATATCAACTGTTATCAATCGACAAAATACACATATGATAACTATGTTATTAGTACAAGTATCTCTTACTATTCTTTTAAATACTCCATATATCGTGATTTATTTATTAAGTTTTTACAAAAAACTACCAGCCGATGAATTATCTGTTCTTCTTTATATTATATTTAGTTATATAGCACGATGGTTTTATTATATGAATTATTGTAAAACATTCTATATAAACACATTAGCAAGTGATCTATTTCGAAAAAGTCTCTATAAACAATTTACTCAATTTTTTCGTCATCATCGAATAATATAGAAGCATTCTATAATTAGTTTCTTTTTATAATCCGAAAATGATATTTGAGTTTGTAATTTAAATCTTGCTTCTATAATTAGTCGTCGTCGTCTCTTTCTTGTTTTATAATACCAGCTGCTGATTCATTTGTTTTGAAAATGTCAAACACAACAACAGACTTCACTTTTATTATTGCTCGTACATCTGAAATTCTTTTAATTATGGATTCATATATGATTGTTATACTTTATATTATCGGTAGTATAGGAGCTATTCTAAATATAATAACATTTCGACAAAAACAAATTCGATCAAATCCATGTGCCACTTATTTCTTATCAAGTTCAATTATTGATTTGAATATAATGCATGCATTTGTTTTAATGCAAATCATAACAAGATACAATCCATCATTATCAAATCGTATTTATTCAACACGAACTTGGTGTAAACTTGGAAATTACATTCTTTTACTATTACCATGTTTATCCTCGAGTTATATAGCATTTGCAACAATTGATCGATATTTTGCTAGTTCATTAAATCCAATACTACGAAAATGTAGTAATTTAAAGGTGAGCCGTATGGTAGTTTGTGCAATTTTTATGATATGGGTTCTATTTGGATTACATATTCCAATAGCTTATGATTATAGTCCAGAGAAAAATGAATGCATAGTTCAAACAAATTCTGCTACAATTTTTATTATCATTGATGGATTTTTCTTTTCATTATTTAATGGAGCGATAGTCCCATTTCTTTTATCCTTATTTGGTTTATTAATTTTTCTTAATATAAAAATAAGTCGTCGACGTGTTCATAACCAAGCAGAAAATATTATTCATCCAACATCAGTTATTGTCAATCGACAAAATACACATATGATAACAATGTTATTAGTACAAGTATCTCTTACTATTCTTTTAAATGCTCCATATATCGTCATTTATCTATTTGGTTTCTTTAGTAGACTATCATATAATTCATTATCTTTTCTTCTCTATATTATATTTAGTTATGTCGCACGATGGTTTTATTATATGAACTATTGTAAAACATTCTATCTAAATACATTAACAAGTGAATTCTTTCGACATAGTCTTCGAACACAATGTATTAATTTCATTCATCATCATCAAATTTCTATTATTTCTCGACCATTATTTCTCATAAACACAAATACAAGATAGAATGACTAGTAAACTTTTCTTTTTTTCTCATTAAAATTTAATAAATATTAATAGCTCATTATTTTATCAGACAATGTCTATATCTATAATTAGATATAATTCGCACCCAAGTCATATTTTTACTTATTTTTTTATCATAGATTATTATATTAGATTTCATTTATTTTTAGAAAGAAAAATAAATGTATAACAACTAAAAATTAGTGAAGTACTGGTGATCTTATGAGATATTTAATAGTTTTTGTTGATTTTGATTTTGGACTTTTAGCAAAATCTCGACATGCTTCAATACTTGATTTTAATTTTGGATCTTTAAAATCATATGTAATAATATTTAAATGAGGAAAATTAAATGTTAATAAATCTTTTAATTTATTTAAAAGTTTTAAATCAGGTGCATATGTACCTGAACCATTATCAATTACTAATTCCCATTGATTCCAATCAAATGCTTCATTTGGATCATATTGATTCCAACCACCTATGGGTCTTGGATGAAATTCACCAGCATAATAAACTGTTTGTGAACAATTCGCATGTAATGCATGTTTAGATACAAAATCAACAAAAAATGAAGCACCTGTTTCACTAAAACGCCATGTATAATCTTCAATAATATATGTATATACACATGGTTTTATATTATATGTATTTGTATCTATTAATAAATTCCATAGATCTTTATTAGAATTTAATAAACCAAATTCATTTGTTGTATGTTTAGCATATAGAACTCGATGAGCTTGTTTAATAACAGATTGAACTGCATGTGACATAGGACCTTCAAATATTGATTTAGCTGCTTGATAGGATGAATTATATTTTTGTTTTTTATGTTTATCGAAATAAATATCGATACGTTTTAAATAGATTTCCCATGTAGAATAAAGTCGTTCATCATTGATTTTGGTTAAACGACCTGCAGTTAAAGAACTATGACGAGAAAAACGAACGGGACCATCGAACATATAAGGACGTAGATGTAATGTATCGGAAGAACGTGGAATTGATATTATAGTTAATTCAAATACTCCTCGTTTAATATTTCCAGGACCATATATTGTTATGAATTCATTTTCTATTGGTTGAAGATCTATTTGAAAATTACCAATATAATCATCATAGATTGTATCATCATCTTTATCATAAACAGTAACAAAAAGTTTGCCTGTTGATGGAACATTTCGTACTATCCATTCTTCATTCCAAATAGGATTTAATGTATTAACAGTACAAGATGAACTATAAGATAATAGTTAAATAAAATTTTGGAGAAAATAAAAATTTATATACATAAATTCAATTTGTCCATCATCAATTTGTGCTCGAAAATAAGGATCAGCAGTTCCAATAAGATCCATTTTTGGTAAATTCTAAATAGTAATATTTATATAATAGAAATAGAATAATAGATGAATTAATATACTTGAGCTCCATGAAATTTAATATGAAAATCATAATAGATTATTTCCTTGAATTTATTATTAATTGTTGGAGGACAAATTAATGTTCGTTCTATGCCAGACGAGATTGAATATGCCATTTTCTCTATATATTATTAAAGTAAAAAAACAAAAACAATTCTTTTTTTATATTTATAAGTAAAACTCTTCTTTTTAATCTAAAATATTTCAAAAAGACATACGTTTACTTAATCATGGATTACTTATGCATGTTTTTGTCTTATTTAATCTTCCATTTTCTGTTAATAAAATTACTTTAAAAAAATTGAATTTTATTACAAATGACGCAAAATTTTGACTAGAAGACAAAATATCTTTCATAGCTTTGAAGACAAAACAAATATCTGTTGAATACTAACATTAACCATGAGTAATATTCTTCTTTTCAGTACTGTTTATCTTTTCAAAAATGATAAGACAACAAACTTTTTATTCTTTTTGTTTTTATAAAATCTATGAATATTAATGCATTAAATCAGATTTAAATCGTAAATTAGATGATATATTTTATTTTTTTTGAAAAATAATGATATGTTAATACCTTTGTATTTATTAGATGCATTTGATTATTTGAATTTGGGAGATCCACAAAATCTCAAGTACCGTCAAACATTAATCACAAAAAAAAATTAGTACTAATTAGGGTGTGTGTCTAAACTATCCCGTATCTACTCCCTCAAGATGCGTCTTTAACACATCATATTCGCACCAACTCTACTGAGAAAAATCTTTTTATTTTGATATGACAAATACTCTTTAATCAGATCAATACGAACAAAAACTTCGTTCTCGTTTTTAATTGCTAGATGAAAGAATATGAACAAGACCTCAAAATTTATTCGAAAATATAATTCAACAATATGACAGTCAATAGATTGTTTCTCTTTTCATATGAACTGTTCGAAGACGTATACGAAACAATGATTATGAGTTTAATCATCGGGTGTGGGTGAGGGTGAGTGTGAGTGAGCTTTTTCACTTACTCGACATTGAGGCACCCACCTACCGCTCTAATACCCACATTCACAACCATCCTCACCGTCACTCACATCCACCCACATCCATCTTAGTTAGTAACCATGCCAGTTGGTAAACATCTCAGTTGATACCCATCTAAGATGGCAACCAAATGATATGCTAGCCATCTGACTTGGAAGCCGTCCCACTTGGAAATCAACTGATTTGGTATCATAGACTAATTATCTAAAACACAAATGTTGTCGATAGGATCGATTCAGTGAATTTCTTTTTCGGCGAAATGCGGCTTCGACGTAGATAGACGAAATCCATTCACATTACGCCTAACATCTCAATTGTGTAAATCAGAATATTTCTTTCATTTGTTATTGTGTTTATTTAACAAAAGCAAACGAAAGTTTAAAAGCAAATGTGTTTTTTCCAATGAAAAAAATTCCAACATTGTCGAGGTAGACGTAGGAGAACACTAGTTGGAGAAAAATTCTTTTTTCTTTTTTCGTGTTGGTTGTTTTTAAAATAGTTGAAGTGAAGTTTTCGTTTGTTCGACGAAAAAATCCGAAAGAAATATCAAAGTGTTTTGCACATATAAATAGGCATCAAATAAATTCAAAACTAACACATATGAGCATGAGTGTCTCTTACTGATCTGAACAGAACACCCACACCCAAATGACTGGCGTCAGTCAAATATATTTTCTAAATGATCCATTTTGTCAGGACTTTATTTTATTACGTTTTTTATATTATTTTTATTCAATGGACATCATCAAATTGTTACCTATGAGATATTTTTCAAATAATATTCATTTTCTCTAATTAAATATGAAAAAAAGAGTTTTTCAAATTTTATCTGTTACATTAATGTCAAAAAAAGATACAAATAATTTCCAGTAGATATTTAAGAATGATTTTATAGGTATTAGAGATATGTATTTATCATGATGAAAGGTTGTGTTTTTCTGCAAGAATTGTTAAAGTATATCAATTAATATGAAGTTTTCATGTTTATTCAATAGTTTAATACTAATAAATAATGTTCAAAGTGTAATTAATATCTGCAATATTTACATATAATAGAAGAAGAATATATCAATAGACAAATAAAGGAATTATTTCTTTTTAACTTGATAGTCAGGAATAAATATTCTTTTTCTATTTGATTGTTTCAGCGAAAAGAATAAAATTTTTATGTTAAATAATAGATGACCACATTAGTTTCATAATGCATTCTTATGAGTATTCAAACGATATTCGATCGGCATTGAGTATCATAGAACTCTAATCAAATCAGTATTGATTGAATATGAATTGTAGCAAGTGAGGATGGATGTGTATTAAAGACAATACCCACACCCACGTCCTAAAATTAACAATTATAAGTGGCAATTGATCAATAGATATACAAGAAAAAGATGTAAGGCAAAAAAAAAGACACATTTAAAACAATTATTGTAGTAATTTTACAAGATCTATCGAGGAGAGAAATTTCGAAGTAATAATATTCTTCATCGAAATTTTATCTACTGTTCACAATTTTCATTGAAAAGAATATTTATTCATAGTGATATCAATTTTATTCTTGTTGACATAATACACTATACACATCTCATACCTCTTTCATATTGTTATGGGCTGTGCTAAGACAAGATCATATATAACTTCTTTTTCGTTCTTCTTTTTTTTATTCGATTGTGCATATATATATATGTAGTTGTTTGTTCACTTTTTCGTTGATTCAACAATAAACACACATATACGAGGACAGTCTATTAACACATATTTTCGTTGACACATATCCATCTATCAGTTGATTGTTGATTGATACAACAAAGTAATGCTTAACGCGGTTGCTTTACTCACCGACGCATTAGCTCTGAATGTCACAATAAAATAGATGGACATCCTTTCGAATATCTCCCCCTCTCTTCCTTTACCACATTTATCTTTCTCTTGTTCTGTTCCTTTGATATAGGGACTCGAAGACGAAATAGAGTCTGAACCATAAGCTCAATAAAGAAGGAGAACAAGCGAAAGATAAATTTGGTTAAGCACGGGAGGAGGAGATTATTCGAAACGATATCCATGTGTTTTCTTCGCACACTAAACTATATCGATTATTATTGTGATGTAGTAGTTTTCGTCATTGAAACCTTCCTTTGTTGTTATATTCTCTCGCTTCATATTTTTCAATATTCAACAGAAGTTATTATCAGCAGAGGTCATTGTATCAAGAAAATAGACGTACATCCTTTCGAACGACACTATGTCAAGAGATTAGACGAACGACCTTTCGAACGGTATCCCTCTTGTTCATCTTACTAATACGTAATCTTTTTATTCCCATCTTCCTGTTTCTTTCCTCTCGATATGTTTAACTCTCCTCCGCTTCCTCTATTCTCTCTCTCTCTCTCTTTCTTTATCTCTCTCGTTCTTTTTCTTTTTTTTTATCACTCTTCTCTCTTTCATATTTCTTCTCTATTCGATAGATTCAGAGAATAGTCAATTGATAGCTGTGTTGACTAAGTGTGACACGTATTTTAGAAAGATGAAGTGTAACGTTATTAGACATCATCATGACTCATTTTCCGTTACAACTGGTGAAGTCGGATCATTGTTCTCTGAAGAAATAATTACATACATAAAATCTGATCATGACGATGTACACATATATCTGTTTATTTTAGATTACGTTATGAAGCGCTCTTTTGATGAAACTGATCAAACAACTGATGATAATAGTTCTACAAAACCAAAAGAAGCAAGAGTTAATGCACCGAATATTACCTGGAGTCACACATGGTCATTTAATGAATCACGTGATGCTTTATCAGAATCTTTTTTTGCTAATATTCCTAATGAAATTCTATTACGCATATTTCAACTATTTTCTGTACGCGATTTGTGTAGTATTTCATTGGTTTGTCGATTGTTTAAAATGATCGCCGATCAAGATGAAATCTGGAAATTCAAATACGATAGTGAGCGTAATTTATGTCTTTTTATTATATACATATTTATTGAATAGCATCAACAAAAATATATTCAAAATCTTGTAAACAAATTTATATGGATTGGATACACGAAAAATCTCTTCGTAATATCGAACTACGAAGTATTTAGCGTGGATACAGAACTGGATGTATGCAATGTGCGCTACCTTCATATCCTGTTCGACCATCTAAGGAACAAAGATTCGAATCTATTGCTGGATTCACCGAGCATCCGAACTCATCAGCAGATATGTAAGAATTTGTATATTAATTTGCATTAAACTAAAAATGATTTTCATATAGTTTACGAATTGAGAATAGAATAAACAAATGATAAAGTGCTTTCTATCGTTTTAGGACTATCGAACTATCGGTGAATATTGATACTACAGCTCGTGAACTTGTACAACTACTTGAAAAAACATCAAAATTCCAAAAGCAATGGCAGCAATCTCCTATTTTAAAACAAATGATAACAAGATACTATCGTTTTATGCGATTGAAAGCATCTCATCCAACAAATATTCTATTGATTCCTACCATGGATATTGAAATTGTCTGGCAGACCCATTTACTTCGGCCTGAAATGTATCAAGCTGACTGTCTTCGTTTGTTTCGTCGCGTAATTGATCATTCATTACTAATTACTGATATTCAGAAAATGTTGAAAGACCAAGCATTTCAAGATACTTGCCAATTATATGAAAAAACATATGGCGAACAATATTGTTCATTATCAGCAAATGATGATAAACAAGAAAGTGCATCGAATATGTCTCGTTTTATTTCAAATATGAATCGTCGCTCTAAGCCCACCTATGCTTATTGGGATAAGACACAATGCAAATTTTCAACGCAACCACTGAAGGATTACGAGAATCCTTTTTCATTTACTGAAGCTGATATTATTCTAGATATGAGCTGGCTTGATTCATGCAAACAGTTTATGCGTAACGCCCTGGACAACACTCCTGGCGAAGCTTATGATCCTGATGAATGTTTTGATATTGATCTTGGTGAAGGAGCAATGAAAAGATTAACAAAATCGTACGAACGATTTTTATATATGGCAGCCAAATATCCACTAGAGAAAAGCAATGATTTCGTGCCTCCTACTTATGCGGTAAATCCTTATTGATGATATTAAACATAATTACGATAATGTATTTATTAACATTTTTTAGATCGACATTATTTGGCACTCTCATATGCAAGAACCATTGAATTATAGAGCTGATTGTATTCGTTTTGTTGGATATGTTGTCAATCATGCGCCATGGCCGATGATTGAAGACGATATCATGAAAAAAACAAGTGATCGATCAGACGATATATGGAAAAATGAGTTTCAAGCGGATATTGAAACTGATCATCTCTATAATACCATTAAACATTATGTTAATTGGGAGGACGAATAAGATTTAATATCATATGCGAATAACAATATTTCATTAATCTAGTGTAATCAAGAATAAATTCTCATCTTGCGTACATTGTGTGCAACATTTTTGTCTTGAATAAATCGTTCATCTTGAGTGTGTGAATATATATAGTTAAAAAATCGATTTTACTATTTATTTCAAGTACAAAAACAATAAATATTTAGTATTTTGATTTGTTATCTCATCCACTAGATCTAGTCTTGTCGATTGTGTTAACGGCATAATCGGAATCGAATGACATATAATGGAAAATCCATTTTGGAAAGTAAGTTTGGTCGCATTTAGACGACATCTCATTAAATTAAATTATCTAATTGCTGGTCCAACGTATAAGACTTTATTGAATACGTCAGTTCATTACTGATGATGTTAAAATATCATTGCGGTTAAATTCAAAATGGGTATGGATGCTAGGCAAATACATTATTCGTACCCACCCTCATATTTTTAATAGGTTTTATTAGTTATTAAACAAAAAAAAGACTAAAAAGTAACAAAAAGTATTTCAGTCAAGATCAATAAGAAATTTTTGGATTCGATGGTTGTCTCTATCGACAACATAAAGATTACCCCGTCGATCAAATGATAAATCTTGAGGGTTTGTGAGCTGCGTCGATTCACTTCCAGATCGTTCTGTACCAACAACAGCAATGCCTTTCATAGCACCTGGCGACCAACGCGTTATGTGATGATATCTGCTATACGATATATAAATATTACCCGTATTATCAACGATCACACCTTTGGGGTTAGACATTACATCAATGAGATCTTCGTTGAAAACGTTTCTCGGAGCAACAAGAAGCCCTTCGGTCGCATTTCCCTCCCATTTCATCACACGATGATTCGTATCGTCTGCTACGTAAACTGAATGATTTTTATCAACGAAGATCTGCTTAGCTTGATTGAGTTGACTACACGAATTTCCAAATCCATTTCCACCTGCTACAACTGTACCCTCTGTATCTCCTTCATGCCAACGTATAACTTTCTGGTTCACCCAGTCAGCAATATAAAGATCTCCATTATTATCCATTGCTAAGCCCCAGCAAAAACTAGGATATATCAATATTTCTTGATCCTGACTGTTTTGACAGGACCATTTTATCACTCGGGAATTGCCCATATCACAAATGATGAGATATTTCTTCTCTTTATCAAGAATGACATCTTCTGGAGTTTTCAATCGATATTTTTCGTTTCCAGATATATTCCCACCTGCAACAATTTCACCATTGTTTGCACCAAATTTCCATTGAACAATACGATGGTTATCAGTGTCAGCAATATAAATACTATCATCATCATCATCAACATAAAAACCTTGAGGTCGATTTAACTGATTTAATTCATGTCCTTGCCCATGTCCTCCAGCAACAGTAGTTGCACTCTGTTTCCATTTCGTATTTTTATCAATGATAGCAGGAGGAAGTAATTGTTCTATAAAATATTTAAAAAAAAACATTCAATATCTTTTCTTTTCTATCGATCTAAAAATTATTTCTTAAAAATAAAACAATGTTTCGGTGCCACTACACATAGATTGCATAAAGAAAAACTACTTTTAAAAATAATCTATCTTTTATGAATTATTTTAACAAAATTATACCGCTTATTGTTTCTGTTGTTATTGTTGTTGCGATCGTGGTTGTTTCTGTCGTTGTTTCTATCTCTGTTGTTGCTGCTGTTGTTATCTCCATTGTTGATGTTTTTTCCGTCTTTGTTTTATTCATTAGGACAATAGTTGTTGCAATAACTAGAATTAAAATAATGGAAAGTACGATCCAGATTAGTTTTCTTTTTCGAAAATGTTCATATCTAAAATAAGAAATTCTTTTCATAATTTATTTTAATTCATCATATATACATACAGTTTTCCTAATCGTGTTGTATTAGGATTAATTACTGAAGACTAAAATATTCAAAAAAGAAAAAAGAAAATAAGATTATTTTCTTCTTATTTAATACATTACTTCATCAACTCCAATTCTGTTATTGCTGTTCATAGTTGTTTTATTCGAGCTTGAATATTTTTACAATCTAAAATCGACACAAAACTCTTTTTCCTCAAAGATTATTCATTAATCAAAATAAAACAATGTGAAAACGATATATATTTTTCTACTTCTTATCAATTTAATAGAAATTACCGTGCATGACTTAAGTAATCAGTTCAGAATATTGCAACATTTGTAACAACAACACAGTATCCTGTATCAATAAAGCTAGTTTTGAATAAAAGATAAAAAGTTAGAGAATGACGTCAAATGCTGCATAAGCTCCATTGAGAAAGAATAAAATATTTATCATTAGCAATATGTTGTATTGAACATTTTCATGAACACTTACCTTTCAAAAAAACGTACATCTAATAACGTCTGCATATTGAAATAGAATTACTCATAACACTTAAAATTGTGAGAAGCATTTTAGTACTACTAATTATTTGTAATATGTTAGAACTGCACTAAAAAATTTCAATTTATTAAATTATAAATGTCAGGTATGATTCATGGTTTTATGCTATGTAATCAAATCACGATAATTTAATAATTTTTTGTACGTAATACGATTTGAATTATGATAAGAATTTGCACCACGATAGGATGTACGAATTGAATAAATAATATGTGGACCACCATCACAATTCCATTCAATACAACTTGATTTCATATTCGATAATGACGAAGATGAACTATCAAATTGCCAATCAACATATTGAAAACCAGTATAACGAAGACTATCATTCATTGTAAAACCTGTATCATCATATAAAAGATGATCCATAGCAATAGTCCAATTATTTAAATCTTTCGAATATGATAAACTTAATATATTACGTTGACTTGGATAGGAATTTTCTGTTACAGGATTAACTAATGAAAAATATGTTTCAGTTATAGGATCATATCGAATAGTAAATTTCGTCATACCACCAGGAAATTTTATAATTGAAATAAATAAGAGTGTATTTGTTGTATGATTTAATTCTAATATAATAGCTAAATTTGATAATGGTATAGAATTAAATCTTATAATATTTAATATGCGTAATTCTTTTGATGATGATGATTTAGGTACTACAACAATATTTCCTTCTAAATATCCACGATTAGTTATATTTGGAAATGATTTTGGTATCCATTCATTATTGAAAATAAGTGGTGGAGTTATATGCCAATTATTCGGAGACATAATAGGATCATCTGTAATTGAGAAATTTGATTTAGATAAATCACAACTAATAATTGCTGCTTGAAAATCCGTTGGCCAACGAGATGGCAATGGCCAATATTCAATAGTACGATACATCATTTGATTAGCAATAACAATTGGTGTTGGCCCTGTTGCAAATGATCCATCAAATAAAATAATACCATCATCATTTCCATTATAATTCCATGATGCAGCATTATCACTACTACGATGAATGATCATATTAGCATTTAAATCATTATCAGTACCTATTGCATAGATCATATCATTATAAACTGCTAAAGTTGTCCAATAACTATGTTTTATATATGAAATAAATGACCATGTTTCACCATTATCATCACTAATATATACTGAAACATTTCTTGGTTGAGATTCATATCCAGGACCAAAAAAATCATGACTAGCAACTAAGCGTCCTGTTGATAAACGAACAATGGATGGAGAACCAAGATAGATTTTTGATGGTTCATTATGATAGACAATTTCATTTAGATCAAGAGTAGAATCTGGTATAAGTTTACATTCTATTAAATGTAAAAATAACATCACATCCGTCATTAAATATATCAATTGAATAAAATACATTATTTTTATTAATGATGTTACGTGTTAGCCTCTGTCGTCGAAATACACATATTCTTGCTTCAATTGAGATATGATGTTATCATTTGTTGACTTCACTCTTATTTTATCTTTGTAGATGTTTTTATTTTCTCGTTTATTTTATTGTATACATAAATAATAATTGACTCAATTTCATATAAATCATATACGTTAATCGTGTTTAAAATAAAAAGTAAAACTATAGATAGTACTATTCAGTTTCAACCATAGTCTCTTCATTTAAGATCTTTTCAAAGAGTTCATTTTTCCATTTATCAGTTGATACAAACCAAATATTTTCAAAAGCATTACGTATAGGACCATCAGAACCCATCATCTCTGATCTGAGTACATCACGAAAGACATAACCAATATGAGTGACATCATTTCCAAATGCACCTGTACCAATTGGTCCAAGTAGAAGATAAGTATTTGATCCATCACCTATAGTATTAGCAACAGCTGCAGCTATAAATGCACGAAATTTAGCTACATTATTTGTTATCCACTAAAACGAATATATCAAAATGTTTCTAATATGTTAATTTCATATTTTTACCTCTTCCATCGTTGTTGGATTATCATAAAGTTGAGGTGAACCAGATAAACAATA